CATTTTAGTAAGGATATAGGCAAGTTGGAGTACATTCAGAAGAGGGTGATCTGGAAGGTGAGAAAGTAGAGTATATTAAAGAATGTGGGGACAATTAACCTGAAGAAGAGAGGAATATGACAGTTCTCTTCAAGTATCTGAAGGGCTACCATGTAGAAGAGGAATTAGACTTGTTCATCTTGACCCTGAAGGAGCAACGGGTGGAAGTCACATGGTTTAAAGTTTTAAAGGAAAAACATCCTAAAATTAGAGATAACCAAATATAAAATAATTAGAGATAACCAAATATAAAATAGACCTTCTAAGGTTAATCAATCAAACATTTATCAAGCATCTCTATTTTCCAGGCCCTGTGTTAGGAATTAGTGATTTAAAGACAAAAAAAATAAAATAAAACAATTCATACTCTCAAGGACTTTATATTCAATCAGGAGAAACAACATGTAGGCACAGAATAATTATATACAGAATAAATATAAGATAGGGAAGGAGGGCATTAATAGTTGGGGAGATCAAAAAAGGCTTCATGTAGAAGGTGGTGCTTGTATCTTGAAGGAAAAGAAGGATTCTATGAAGTAGAGGTGAGGAAGGAATGCCTTCCAAGCATGGAGAATAGTCAGTGCAAAGGAAGAGAGATGAAAAGATGGAAATCTATGTGTGAGAAACAAAAATAAGGCCAGTTTAGACAGACGATAGAGTGCAGGAATGTGAATAATGTATAATGGAAAGACAGGCTGAGAAAGGTTTTGAAGGGTTTTAAAAGATGTTAAAACAAGTGAGTTTATATTTTATTCTAGAGGCAATAGAGAACCACTATAGCTTACTGGGTAGGGGAGTAATGTGATCAGAAAGGCGCTTAAGGGAAATAATTTTAGGAGGAGTATGAAGGATTGTTCAGAATAGGGAGAGACTTTAATCAAAGAAAATAATTGGTAGGTACCTTCCAGGAAAGAGGTGACAAGGGTCTGAATGAACTAAGGTCATGGCTATGCGAACAGAGAAAGACAGGGTCAGATGTGAGAGATGTTGTGGAGGAAGGAAAGACAAGATCTGGCAACTGACTACATATGTGGAATGAGAAACAGTGAAGAGTCTATAACTAAAGATATAAATCTGGAAAACTGAAGAATAGTGGCACCTTTGACACAAACAAGTGAATATGGTAGCAGGGTTGAGTGAGTTCTGTTTCAGATATGTTGAATTAAGATGTCTCTAAGACGTCCAAGATGAAATGTCCAAAAAATCAGTGAAACAAAACCAGAACTCAGAAGAGAGAATGGGGCTGGACATGTATATCTTTGAGACATCTGATCAGCTTTAATAGTAAAACCCATAGGAGCTAATAAGGCTACCAACAGAGAGAGGCACAAAGACAGAGAAGACTCAGAGAGGTATTGAGGCATTAGGGAGCACTTGTAAGCATGTATTAGGGCAGTGGCTATTTCAGAAGGAGAGGAAACATGTGAAAGATTCTGTAGATATACACTCAACAAAACCTGGCACATTGTTGGATAGGACAGTGGAGAGTTAGAATGTGGAAGAGAGAAGAGTTAAGGACTCTGAGGTTACAAATTTAAGTAATTTAACCAGAAAGATGGTGGTGGCCTCAACATACGTAGATGAATTTGGACAAGCTATAGGTTAAGTGTATGTGTTAAGGAACCAGGATGAGGGAGGGAAGGGCAACAAAAATGATGAGCTCCATTTCTGGCATTTTAAATACCAACGGACAACTAGATAGAGATGGCTAGTACTGTTGATCTAGAAAGAGAGCAAATTCTGGAGTTATTTACTGAGATGAAGAGTGTAACAATGTATAGAAGTTGTGGAGAGACAGACTTGGCCTGAATATTAGGAAAAACTTTTGAACAATCAGAGCTAGCTAAAGAGGAGTATGTTGCTTTGAGATGGTATAGGCTCCCACTGAATTACAGATCTTGAAGGATAGGCTGGATGAACACTTGTTGACGTACTCTGGAGAAGATTCTTGTGCAAATATGGATTGGACAACATAGTCTCTGAGGTTCCATATATCTCTGAGATACACAAGATATCCTAAGCAGATGTCACTCAGAGAGAGTTTAGAAAGTAAAAAGGGTCCAGAACAGAGCCTCTGGGAAGAAGTATGCTCAAAAGACACATGGGAGGTTGCAAAAGAGACTGAAGTACAATAGTCATAGAGTCACGAGAAGGGGACAGAAATTTGCAACAGAAACTAAGAAAAAAAATTAAAAAAAAAATATCCAAGAAGAGGATAATAATACCAGATGAGGTTTGTTTTCTTTTTTTAAATTTTTTGTTTTTCTTTTGATTTTTGGTGAGGCAATCGGGATTAAGTGACTTGCCCAGGGTCACACAGCTAATAAGTGTCAAGTGTCTGAAAACATATTTGAACTCAGGTCCTCCAGACTCTAAGGCTGGAGCTCTGTCCACTGCACCACCTACCTGCCTCATAATATCACATGTTACAGAAAGGGAATGAGGATGAAAGCTAAGGAAGGGTTACTGAATTTAACAGTAAAAAGCTCATTGGCAGCTTTGGAAAAGATAGTTCATTCAATTACAGAAATGAGCAGATGATAAAAAAAAAGCAGAAGCAATGAGTGTAGATGCTTCTTTCTAGGAGCTAGGAAGAAAAAGGTACAGAAAAGAGGAATGGCAGTTTGTGAGGATTATGTAAAAGATTAATAAGCATGGGAGGAAACTTTGTAAGAGAATAAGAAGCCATCAAGATGAATAGAAGGCTTTTCATGTAGCACATGCAGCAAAGTAAAAATGTGTATGATTTTTTGACTTCCCCAAGTAGGAGCTTCAGCATGAGAATAGCACTGGAGAAGATGAATGATGTGAGTTATCTAAAGCTGGTTAGCAGAGCAAGAATTCCAAGAGATTAAGCAAACAAGGCATTCAAGGACATCCATGAAACAGCTGACTACTGAGATCGAGGCTGTGTAGAAAAGAAGTAAGGTCAATGAGGGGAGATGTACTATGCAAAATAAATTTACTGAGTTTTATTGTGTTCTGCATGCATCCCATCCCTACAGCATATCACTTCCCACTGGAAACATTACGAGCTAGGAATTCCACCTTGGAAAAGGAACTGAGCAGAAAATTCTATTTTAAGAAGTAATAGGGAGGGGCAGCTAGGTGGTGCAGTGGGTAAAGCTCCAGCCTTGGGGTAAGTAGGACCTGAGTTCAAATCTGGCCTCAGACACTTGACACTTACTAGCTTGGTGACCCTTGGCAAGTCACTTAACCCCAATTGCCTCACCAAAAAAAAAAAAAGAAAGAAAAAATAACAGGGCAATTCTAGAATGCTGAGAGTCTGCTGACTTGGGGTATCATGTCCTGGAGGTGGTAAGCACCTGGTATCATTTTCTTGATAAAGGAATGGCTTTGTTCTTGCCTAGGAGATAAGATAAAAAAGGATATTCCCACTTGCTGATTAAAAAAAATCTGATCTTGGATTGTTGAGTATACTAAATGGAAGGAAAAAAGAGAAAGAAGACTAAGGCTCTAAGTCACGGAGTTTGGGCATTACTGGATACATCGCTCGGTAGTTCTGGCTAAAAAGGGGGGAAGTAACGTAAAGCAAAGCGACAGGGTTGATGGAGGCAGGAGGGGAATGAATCTCTGGCTATGACTATGGAAAGGAGGACCTAGGAAAACATACCACACACAACCCATGGGGAGGGGACGAAGTATCTTCACTCATCAGGTCAAATGGGCCAGATTATTGTGAAGATTTTTTTAAAAAATCTTCTTTCTTAAAAAGTGAACGTAATCTCACGAGGATCTAAGACATCTCCAGAGGCCTCAGAATGGAAAATGCTGTCCACATCCAAAGAAAGAACTATGGAAGTCAAATCGCTCTCACTTATTTTTACCTTCAGTTGAATTTTGTTTCATCTTTCTGATGGTTCCTCCTATTGGTTTTAATTTTTACTTACAACTTCACTAATGTGAAAATATGTTTAATGGGTATGTAAATGTAAAGCCTGTGTCAGACTGTGCGCCGTCTTGGGGAGGGTGGAGGGGAGAAAAAGGGAGAAAAATTTTCAACTCCAAAGCATATGGAAAAAAAAATTTTTTTTTAATAAAAATTAAAAAAAAAAGTGAACGTAATCTACTACAAAAGGCTGCCAGGATTTACTAACATTAATATTTATTAAATGCCTGCATGGTATATAGCACTTCATTGTTGTACATTTATTTACATATTTGCTTTATGAGACTGTAACTCTCAACTGTCTCTCTATCACTATCAAAAATGCTACTCACCCTAACTCCCACAACTAGGCATTCATTTTATTTTTTTCTTCAGTTAAAGGAACAAAATCTTGTCAATCCAGTGATAGTCAAAACATTCCTGTTGTTAACAATTTTACACCCAACTGCCTTTGGGAACAACAGTCAGCATTTGTTACAATCTTTGGTAACACTCATTAACCCACAGACTCATCAGTATTATACTCTAACCAAATGAACTAAATGGCCATTAATTTGAAATCAAGCACGTGTGCACACACATGCTTATACTTGTATACATTACTTTTTTCCCCTCAAATTCTATAGCTTTTTCATTTAAGATACTTTCCATTGGGCCACAAACACTTATTACAAACATTTATGTAATTTATATTCATTCTCACTAAAAGCCAATAATCAGGGGAATAATTTTTCATAAGCCCAGAGAAATACCATAGTACAACAATGTAGTGAACCTAATATTTCATGGAATCTCAAAACAGGAAGGAGCTTCAGAAGCTACTTAAATACAAACCATACAAATAAGGGCGGAGAATCCCCCTTTTAATATTCTTAGCAACTGGTCACATAGCCTTCATTGGAAATGCTATCTAGTTAGTGAAGGCACCTCCATGAAATATGATGTAGAACCACTGCTTTTTGGTATCTAACACAATACACTGTTTCTTTTTAATAGAAACAAATGTAACAATTATCTCAGGGGTTCTTAACCAAAGAAATTAGTTACTTACTCCAGTAGAATGTTGTTCATATCCTGTGTGAAGAATTTTTTCCTACCTTCTTCATCAAAAAGCTTGGCAGCCTAGAACATACACAGTATAAAGTAAAAACTAATGTTTACTATAACTTTCATAATAAACAAACTAAAACACAAAACCAGAGACCCAGCAACTATGTGCCCTTCATCCTATTCAGATATTTTCTTATAATCAAAAGGAAATATAAAGCATTCTCTTCCCACAATATTTCCAATAAAATTAAAATTTTAGAATATTTAGAATATTATTAAATATTAAATATTTAATATTTAGACTAAATCCTCGGTTTGGTCCAGCAACAGAATCTATGATAAAAGCACATTTTTAAAGTACGGTCAACTCAGGATTAACCACACAAAATCATGGGGAATAGAAGTACTAGTAAATCAAAAAATTATTTAGTTTGGTATTTGAACACTTTATTGTATATACATTAGACTATATTGGCTATGGTACCGTAAATTTCAATTTACTTCAAACCAGTGACACTAATATTATTTCAAAGACTCAACTCAGGTCAGGCTGACAATTAAAGCCTGGTTTGCACAGAATACAGGATGACACTGATGTTGCAAAGCATAATACTTACAAGAACTGTCCGCTCTGTATGTAAACTTAACAAGGAAAAACACCCCCAATGACCAAGAGTGTTTTATTCATTGAGTCCCCCTCTTTGCTCACAACTATCCCAGAACCATCTAAGACAGACAGGAAGATATCCTACCATCAAGGGTGCCCTCCTCCCTTGCCTCTCCTCTGCTCAGGTTGCTGGTCTAATCATAATCATGGCACACCTGCACTGCCTCTGTGCTCTGCAGTCCCCTGGCCTGTTATATGACCTCTCTGAGCCTTTCCATCCCCTCTACAACTGTATCTGTAGGACTCCTAGGCCTTTCCACATGGCCCGTGGCTAAACATTCTTTTATGTGTTATCTTTTCCAAAGTGTGAATTCTTTGAGAGAAGGTTCTGTCTGGCCTTTTCTATTAGTATACGCACAGCTCAGCACAGTACTGGTCACATAGTAAGTGCTTAATGAATGCTTTTTGACTTTGTCATTTACTCAACAATTTCTAAGAAATAATCTTAATTAAAATGGTTGTACAATGATAAAATTAACATTCTAATAGGAAGAGAAAGGAATAGGTGTTCCTTAAGACTATTAATGTCTTTAAAGTGTTCTGAGGCAGTTAAATAAGACAAACAGGAGACCTAAGGGTGGACTGGTTCTGTTCAGAGAGTTTTAAGAGGAGATAGAAAAAAAAAAGAATGAAAGGCATACATTACATTGATATACAAATGAAGAATCAGGAGGGTAGAACTTGCTGTATCTTATAAATGAGATACATGAGATGAAAAGTATATAAACATGAAGGAAGAGGTGGGGGAAGTAGGCATCAGATGAACCTCACTCTTACCTCAACTGACCACTCCCCCTACTCAGAAAGCTCCAATTGCTTCCTATTAATCCTAAAATCAAATATAAAATCCTATTCAGCATCTAAAGCTCTTCATAACCTAGCCCCTTCCTAACCTCCTAGAGGTCTTCCACTTCACTCTTGTGTATTCTGCTCCAGCTACACTGGTCTTTTGGCAGTTTCACAAATACAACATTTTATCTCCAAACTCTATACCTTTGCACTGGCTCTCCCCCATTCCTGGAATGCTTTGTCGTTTAACCTCTGATTCCTGGTTTCTCTGGCTTCTTTCAAGACTCACCTCAAATCCTACCTTAAGGAGGCCTCTCCCCACATTTTACCCCCACTAATGTTGTTCCCCTTTCAGATTAACTTCTTATACTCCACATACGTCTTGGATATACCTAGATATTTATATGTTCTATCCCCTATTAGAATGTATTGTCCTCGAAAGCAGAGATTGTTGGGTTTTTTTGTATCCCTAAAAACACAATGACTGGCACAAAATAAATGCTTGTTGACTGATTGCAAGGACCATCCTTCCTCTGGGGAATGTAAATGAATTTAAATTGCTTGGCAGAAAATATATACATGAAACACTGAAGAAACAAATAATTTTGAAAGCCATAAGAGCTTTGATCAATGCAAAGATTCATCATGTTTTCCCAGGACCAAAGATAAAGAGTGCTACCTACCTATGACATAGACTAAATATGCAAATGTACTAAATATGCAAAATAAACATTTTTGGACATGGCAAACATGGCAATTTTTTATGACTGAATTTTTGTTACAAGGGTTTTTTCTTTTCTTCCTCCCCCCCCCATGGAGAGGAAGGAAGGAGAGAAAAATATCTGTTAATAAAATTTTTTTAAAGTACATATTTACATTTATACAGAGTTATATTCATAATTGGAGGCTTTCCTCCCCATGGCAGGATCTTTATTTAGTAGGCCAAGGGAAAATGCAATAAGCAACTACATTAGAGGGCTTTTGATCCTCACTGAGATAACAATTAAAGGTCACATACACTCAGCCAATTTTAAGGCAGAACACCCAGAAAGACTTATCTGCGTATTAAGGGCTACTCTCCTATACCTACATAGTTTTAATATCTTCTCTCATGATTTTGCTCTCATCCCTAAAACCAACTAAGGCTATCTCTCCCTATTTACCCAATTATAACTTCATAGATAAATTTCTAACTAGGCCCCAATAGCCGATACAACCTGAGACTGAGATCTCAGGTCCTCTATATCACCATTGTTCACCAATCTCAAGTAAAATGGGAAACTCTCCAACCCCACATCCTTATCCCTCTCAAGCAAATTCTGGGCTCAAGAATCCAAGAATGAAAATCTGGAAGCTAAGTTAACAGATAATACCTTGCTCCTCACCAATTGCTATCCTGTAACACCCAAAAAGGAGGGAGTGCTTTATCAAAGATGGGAAATTTACCAGTACAAAAGTGGAAAAATGGGAAACCATCTAGAAAGCTGCAACATTAACACCCCAATCTGGATGCAGATTTGGAAGATCACAACACCCTGTCCCCATCTTCAGCTGGCTGTAAAGAATACCTTCAAATGAGTCTCATGCATTAGTTTTCTCCATTTCCTTTACCTAGTACAGACACTGAGTTACCACATAATCCTTCATCTGGAGAAGATTTTGCAGCAAAATATAGAACCTGAAATGAGTGGGGTCATCAATCAAGATTCCTCATTTTAGAACTCCTTGAATTTGCAGAGAAAGCCCTCTTTCAAACCACTGTAGTGAACAGTTCAACGCGCAGAGAGCTAACCAAGGAATAAGTCCTACATAAGTAATGAGTCATCTTATCAATTAAAATGCAATCAATTTCATTTTTGTGATGCTAGTTAGTGCTGTCCAAGTCGAGGAGAGCCTTCTTATTTTTTTTTCCCTCCTCAAGGCAAGTATTCATGATGTAGATTTATATGGCTTTATGGCTTCTGCAGAGTCCAAAAGTCTTTGGTCTCTTTCATTTCTCACTTCTAAACTACGCTATCCAACAGATTTTTTTTTGCTGTCCTTGCCTATCCCTATTTTATGTTCAATTCACCAAGTATATTTCTAAAAATAAACCAATTTTATTTAGAATATCTCATCAAATTCTTTATGTAACTTCACTAGCTCTTCATCCTCTACAAACAGAGGTTGGTGCATAAGCTGTAATTATTTTCATGGTGGTCTTTTTTTGTACTTATGGGCACTAAAATACAAGATGAATAAATGTTTCATGAAATATTTCCTGTGGTCTTTGGTCAAACAATAAAATCAACTTCACCATCTCCTTTCATTTGCCACTGTAAGGAAAATCTGTGAGCTAGCCATCCATTTAATTTCAATATATTTATAACAAAGAAGATAAAGACAGGTACAATTTAGTTCCTCTAGTAGGAGTTAAGTCTACTTGCTGGTCCCTGGACAAAGATATTACAGTTAAAAGGACAGCAAAGTTGATATTTCTGACAGTCTGAAAGTGGTATGGTTTTTAGCAGCCTTTTCTACCACTCTGCTGTCACTACTACAGAAGTGGACGGAAGATGTGCAGCATGAAAGATGATTTTGTTTGCCATGACAAAAGAATTCCTAACAAGTGGGCAGTCTACTAGTAATGAAGATCTTTCAACCTATACAGGCTGGTCCTCACAAAACAGACATTCTATTGCTTTGGATTGTGCTTCAAGCATTTCCAGTATGGCAGAACCAGGCAAAATGGGAACTCTGCTAGCAAAACCTTAAAATACCTGACAGGTTACATCTCCACGGTACAAGGAGGTATGGCATTCCAAGGGACTTTGCAGAGGAAAATGATATAAATACTGAAAAACATTTGCATTTGAACAAATTTTAGTCTGGTATATGAAAGTCAGATAAGAGAGCCCAGCCATTTAAAAGCAGTTAAATTCTACTGTATATATAATGTTAGAAGAAGTGATAGGTTAATGATCTGTCTTTAAAATAACTGACCAGAGGATTGCTTTAAATAGCAGCTCTCTTAGTACACTTAGTTGTTTGCAGAAAGATGTCCCCACGAGGATAAAGAAACCAATCTGTTTAGGGTGGAATTAATCTCTATCTTTTACCTCTGACTTTAAGTTCTAGTCTACAGCTTTCCAGTTTTAGAAACTATTTAAGAAGGCACAGGAAAACTCTGAGTAACTGATTTACACTAATCAAATTCACAAAAGCTTGATTTACAAACCAAAATATATATTTATTTACATACAGGGGAAGATATATTTCAAGTATTTGACTAATTACCTACACAGAACTCCTACTTCTTAGTGGTTAGGCCCACTCATGGAACCAAACTATATATCATAAAGGGGTTTAGTGAGTACACAATCAGAGCAAAACCAGACAGAGGCTTAAACTATAACTGCCTGATCAATTCCCCTGTCCAGTCTATGGGTATTTCTGCCTAAAAAACAATTTGTCCCCAACTACGTATCCCTTACTGCAGTCTTTGTAATCTTTTTGTTTTTGTTTTGTTTTGTTGCCTCACCAATCTAATGAAACTGATCTCTCCTAGATTATCAACAATCTCATAATTAATAAATATAATGGTGTTTTCTCAGTCTTCATTTTATTAGATTTTTCT